TGTTAATCAGCTAGCGTTAGCTAAGCTAGCTGGTTGCTAGCTGTAGCATCATGCTAGGTGTACAAACACAAGAGTGAAATCGATCTCCTTCCTAACTTCCTGCAACAATACAAACATATTTCTCAAAATGGTGAATTTTATCACCTGTTAGCCTCTAACCTGGACTTTAACCGACTCAGGATGATGTGTTTAGCTTTATGCCGTCATTTGTGTGACTTTTATCAGACTGAGGTCCTGGTGGAGCAGCAGCAGCTACCACTGGCTAATCGGTTAATCCAGTAAATCAATCGATTAATTTAAACACAGCTGCACTGTGACGCAGAGACGAAGCCTTCAGTCTATCTGTAGCATGATTCTGGAAAACTGAGAAAACAACACGTTTGTGGTTTCCAGTTACTCCCAGTTCCTCATTTTGCTTCCTTTTATGATTTGTACCGATGACCTACGTCTGTCGCAACATGTGTTCAACAGGACACGTCGACCTGTAACGCCTTCATTCATTCAGCTGCTCGTTCATCTTTTATCGAGTCAAACCCAGAAAACCAACCAACCAGCCGACCGGGCTGTTGGCCGCGTTGAAAATCAGACGTGCATTTAAACATCAGGCTCTTGTGGGAATAAAACCTGACGTGTTAATTATAGAAAACCTGCTGAACCACCGCGTCACGTGAAGGGAAAACACCTCTCTGGTGTTTGGTGCACAAACACGACAGGAACAAAACGAGTTCCTAAAAACATCACAACAGGCAGCTTAATGTGTTAATATCCTGTTTTTAACAGCTTTGTGTGTTAATATCCAGGTTTTATTCACGCACAGAGGTGTCAGAAACCAAGATGTGAGCACGTTCACTAAAGCTTCAAAATAATAAAAGTATAAAAGTTCCAAGTTATAAAGTTTTTTTAATAAGTTTCCTAATAAGATGCACACCAGCAGATACAGTCGTCCTCAGATCTATTCATCTCTTCCCATTAAAGAAAAGGGAAAATTCACAACAGTCACTCAAATAACCAGAAACGGAAAAAAGTAATAATAAATAAAAATTTGCTAAATTATAATTTAGTGAAATAAGACGTTGCTTTTGAATTGTGGTTGAAAAGAATAATTTAAAAAATAAAATTGTCCTGGACCAATGAGAGGCCTTTGCTGATGAGCAGTGGTCCAGAACACCTGTCAACAGGTGCACAAGTCTGACTGAGAGTTACAGGAAACACCTGATGGCAGTGATTGGCTCACAGGGTTGTTCAGCTACATGTTAGTTCACAGGTCTCATCAGGCTGTTTTTGTTTTTGTTTTTTTTAATATTTGTGTTGAACCAATTCAAAAGCAACGTCATGATGTTCATTACATTTTTATTTATTACTACTTTTGTCATTATCAACCTTTTTCATCTGGTTTTTCCTTCTTTAATGGGAGGTCTGGATAAATCTGAGGACGACTGTACGTCATTCATGACTGGAAACTTCATGTCAACACTTGAGATTACCAGTTTGGCTTTTATAAAAAAAAATCCCGTCCCAGCTCCTGAATATTGGGGATTTTTTTTATTCTTTTCTTTGTTTTATGGTAAAAGCTGAGGGAGGGATGAGAACATGCTTTCAATAAGAAAAACTCAGGTGGATTCAACAAAACAATAACGACTAAAGCTAAAGGCTGAGTGAAGCTGCATCCTGCATCAGCGTCTCCAGAGGAACGCTCAGACTCACCGAGGTAGAACATGAGGGTCGTCGTGACGAAGGACATGAAGTACATCCCCGACGCGAACGACATCATCCCGATGAGGATCAGCATGACGTCGCTGACGCAGCGACGGAACACGATGACGCCGAGGAAGCTGGTGAGGAAAATCGCACAGCCGGCGGCGTTCCCATAACCCACCTGGATGGAGGGACGGACAACAGAGAAAACCAGAGACCAAGAGAGAGACAGGAAGTAGAAGAAAGAATCAGACAGAAAGTGAAACGAGTTAAAACCACAAGAGCACCAGACAAACAGGAGAGCAGCATGAAATGTGAAACTAAATCAGTTTCACTAATAAATAAACATAAAGACGAACCACACATAGACGTCTGAGCATAAAAACTCACATTTAACTGAACAATCACTCTGCTGTTCATCACTAACATTTAGATGCCAATAATTTAAATCTACGTGAGAACTGAGCAGTGAAACCATCTCCATCTGCATCTAAACCACAAACCCCTGCAGCAGCAGACTGGTACCTGAGCTGCGGTCCAGCTGAGCGGTGCTTTCAGCACGAAGGCGCCCAGAATCTCTACGGCGCCGCCAACCGCAAAGTCGTAGAGGAAGGCGGCCACGAAGAGCAGCACCACGGTCACCTTGTCGACCGGAGCAGGAGGCTCAGCAGCAGGCGGGCTGTCGGAGGTGGAGGTCAGGAGGTGGCAGTTCTCCTCCGGATCCTCACTTTGGACCTGTTTCACCTGTGATTCAGACGGACTCACATTTAACATCTGCACACTGA